ATAATAAAAAGATATATTTATTAAACTTTTAATATTTATCCTAATGCATATATGAACAAAATTCTTTATTAAATTCAAATATTAAAACAAATACATAAAATCATTTTCTTGAATTGTTCATCATCAAATGTATGAAAAAAAGGTATTTCTAGCAACTTTAATGCGAACTTGTGATCTAAATATGATGGGATTGGAAATTTCTTGAAAGGTAAGCACATGTGATATTGTTGCGGGAAAGTTCATTTTCAAGAGATAATGAGATGAGTGAGCTTTAATCTTGGCACTATTTAGAGCCATTTTCCCCTCAATGTGACTGTAATATGTCATTTTTTATTTGCACGTAACCATTGAATTAGACACAAGGGAAACGGATTGTAAATTCCAACCATAATTTCTTTTTCTAATGAAATATTCAACACAAGCTTATCTAGTTAAGAAAACTTTTTCCATACGCATTTCAAAACAAAAAAAAAAAAATTCAAGTTTGGTGTATAATTACGTTAGAGGTCGATCTGTAATTAATGAAGCATGTTGTAAATCCATAATTGGAGATTTAACTACTTCATGTAGATTTTCAGGATCAATATAATTTCTCGGATTTACCTAGCCCAACACATGTTTATTCAAGTTCATCACTCCTCCGCACCTGGGTTAAGCAATTCATAATTTTTACAAAAGTTACAGTTACGCCAAGACATGCTCGAAAGAGAATCAACATGAACAGTATTTATGGACAGTTGAAACCTTTTTGTGTGTTTATGGTTATGTATTTATGCCCATTCCGTGTCCAAAGTACCAAGCGTCCCATACGCTGCATGATTGAATGATTTGTCTCCCTGGAACCTTTATTTCAGTGTACAACAGGAACAACAACAACAATAGGCCAAAGAAAAATCATTCCACACCATGATTAAAGTTGATTAAGATTAAAGCCAGCTTCCCCTCTTCCATTGCATCAATCACCATAATGAATGCTGTCTCCATGTTCTTTGATTCCTTCTTCTAGATGCTTTTTTAGTTTTTAAACCATCAAAAAGCCTTTGGTTGTCCTGAGGATTAGAAGAACCCCACCACACCATCATGTTCATCAATGCTGGTCCAATATTTCCTTCTTTTTCAACATAATGATGACTTTTAACTAATTAACCTCATGCATGACCATTATCTCAGTAATAAAAATTGTCTGATATCCATAATTTTGGGTGATATTTTCATGCAAATATAATTCTACCCAACCATGAAACCGATTTCTCATACTTGTTTACACTTTCTATAATCCATGACTAGAGGACCAGTCTAGGCCGGCAACATCCCTGGTCCATGATGAGTGGGGTGCCCTCAGGTCCCACGGCTCAATACTATTCGTGGGGGTGAATTGTTATCAATCTGGACTGATTGAACTAGTAAATAGTTTTTTCTTGCTGTGCAATTTTTTTATTTTTTTATATATTTGATGATAAATTATATAAAAAAAGATAATTTTTCATCATTTTCAAATCTCTTCTCAATTTATTCAAGGTTTGAACTTACAAATTTTAAATTAAAATATCAAATTTTTAATTAATTAAATCATATTTTAATGCAGCTTGGTTTGCATTTAAATATCAATTATTCATTTACAGTCTAATGCGTTGCTCTTAAGAAACATATAAGAAAGGGAAAAAGGGAAAAGAGGGAATAGAATTGCATTGACTAAAAAGTGCATTACAGATACTAAATCAAAATCAACAATAATTAAGGCTTTTGAAGGGCCATAATATTGTCTGTTAATAGTATCTTTTTGACACATAGATTAAGCTTTATTAAGAAGACAACTGCTAGGGGAGCATTCGCTAATTTGGCTACTAATAGGGGGATTAATTAATTGTCTTTGAAGGAATGGATGATTAAGCCATGGAACTGTGGGAAGGTTATTGAAAATCTAAATTAATTTGCACTTAACTTAATTAGTTAATTTCTGAGATATGTGTAAACTAGTTCAATACACCCTAACTGCTAAAAAAAAAGTGGGGGATTAATTTGGGTACTGCTAGAGGAGAATTTCTTAGAAGACAAATGGACCAAAGGTACAATTGACCCATTACTAGATGGGGGGCGGAAGGTTGAGATTAATTGTCTTTGAAGGAATTGGGGAAAGGGTACGGTTCAAGAAAAGACCAATCATAACATGTCAAATTACAACATCTGGTGAGTTTATGGGACCTGACCAGGACAAAATAAGGGTCCCAGAATCCCCATGAAGAGCGGGTGTAGCTCAAATAAGCACCATAACCCAAGAAAAGGGAATCACCTTGGCTAAGGTAAATCAAAGCATAAAAGTCACCCAGGTATTCTGGAGCAATGCTCTCTTGGGAAGGGCATAGATTTGTTTCTATCTCTTATGCTACTCATATTCAATTTACCTCAATTTTTGAAATATCAGAGCATATTATATGAAGAGATTACCAACTAACCTAAGGATTAGACTGAATCACTTGAGCCAGATGTTCCTATTTCCTTTAAAACTTCAAATCCCGCATGCAAATCAAATTAGAGGAAGAGATTTTTCCAAGAAACTAAATAATCAGCACTAACAAAAACTTGAGTTAATACTCATTAATTTAAAAACCGACTCTTATGTTGTCAAAATGCTAATCCTCTTAAAAAAAACCCCTTAATAATCAACAGAAATCAGTTTGTAGTTAATATGTATCTACGTACCATAATGATAATAATAATGATAATAATAATAATAATAATAATAATAATAATAAAAGAAAATGAGAAACTAATTACCTAATTTTTGAAGTATCTTAATTTTCACGAATATGAATCATAATATTGTAATGATTTAAATTCCAAGCCTAAGAGCATTGTGACCCTTAAAATCCTAATTAAGTTTTAGTCAAAGCAAACAACCGCTCCAAAAAATAAAATTGCCCGTGTTGAGGAAATATTCTCGCATATTATAACTAGCTAGTCTTTATCCTCACTACTCTCTGCTATAATACTCAGTATCTCAATTATCACTCTACAAATTATACGTATCCACGCAATCAACTCTTTCCATTCCCTTGACTCCTTGAGCTGCTTGGCCCGATTGCATATCTCCATTGCCTTGCTAATCATCATCTTCAAATCCTTCCATTCTTGACCCGACTCCAAATAAGCTACGATCATGGCATCTTTAGTTTCCTTACGATATGGGGCTTCCACTAATGCTGCCATAAACTCCTTCTTCGCCAACTCCTGCTCCCCAATTAAGCAATAAATTTGTGCTTTTAACACCTTCAATTCAATTGCTCTCGGCTGGCACACGATCATACTATTGATAACATCAGTTGCCTCCTGGAACTTGCCCAATTTGATCTTAACCTCCATTAGGGACCATAAAACTTTGAAGTTATCAGGGTATCGAGTTAAGTAGTCAGACTCCAGAGTTGTCTCTTGTTCTTCAAGAGTTAATTGTTTGGAGGCAGACTCGATTGCTGCTGCTGGGGTTGGGGCGATTATCACGGTTTTGTGGTTGATCTTGAGCCACATGAAGAAAATTGTGGCCGCTGCTACGGCGACCGTGCAGGTGGTTTTGAAGATGGGGCCTATAGTTTCGAGGGGATCATTGGATCGATAGTATGAGGCTCTGATGGAGCGTAATTTGAACGGAGGTGATGAAGAAAATGGGCGTACTGTTGATCTGAATGAAACAGAAGAGAGGGGTTTTGGGAATAGAGGACAGTGGCGTTTGGGGGATAGGTTGAGGAGGAGTTGGTAACGGCAGTGTATTTTAGCAAGAGACACCATGATTTCACAGAGAGTGAAGGGAGACTTCTTAAACCCCAATGGTGTGATAGGTCAAAAAAAACCCCTAGCAGTGCATCGAGGTAAACTTGGGATACAAGTCATCCCTTAGAGCTCAAATTGGTTGCTTAGCACATTACCTCGAGGGTTATGGAATTTTTGCAAATTTAATTGCAAAATCTCCTAATAATTTTTTTAAAAAAGTAGGATTTTTTTATGAAAATGAAATTTTATAAATATTATCAAAATACTATAAAGAG